AAAAAAAAAAAAAAAAAAAATCAAAGTTTTATCACTTTTTGCGGGAAATTTCCCACATGAGATAAAATCAAGAAAAAAAACCCGATTTTTTTGTTTCTATTAGACATTTTGACATTTTACTAAAATGACCCTCATATTTGTGTCGTGTGACAATTTTTTAAAGGGTCTCACAATTCACCGTGCGTGAGAATAAATATACCATGAAAAAGATGAAATTTTTTAAATATAGATAATAAATTGAAAAAAAAAAAGATTTTTTTTTAAAAAAAAAATGAATTTCACAAATTTATCATCCACGTTCAAATATCACTGTGGGGAAGAAGAGAAGAAAAAAAAAAAAATTTTTTCAGATGCATGAGATTTAATGACAATCCAATTCCATTTAATTCCGACAAATAAACGTGTCAATAAAAAATTACCGCAGTAAAATTACACAACAGATAATCTAAATAAAATATTTATATTGTTTCATTTTAATCATTAATCATTTTTTTTTTAATCAGTAAGTTTTTTTTTTTTATCAGTAATTAAATAAATTAATGCATAATAAATTAACAGTTAATTTGTATATTAAAATTACGCGGATTGGACGAAATCATTTACTTAAATTAGTTAATCAAATGATAATTCATTCAAACATTTACATACCCTGCATAATATTTATAAATAAGCAAACAAACATGACTTGCTAATAAAAGTATAATTGGCTGCCCGATAATTATCATTACTTCGGAGTTATCATATTATGAATATCAGATATTTAAAAAAAAAAAAAATGTGAAGATCGAAAATTCAATTGGTCATGTTAAAATAAAAGATGCAAAACGAGTATCAATATTCTTTATTAAGTGTAATAGATTTGAATGATTGTCTAAAAATCGTCTTTTCGAAAGCAAAAAATGATCTACCAATTTCTTTATTTGAATTTCTTCATTAAGTTACATGTGTAATCGACATATAATTTTACATATTTTATTTTAATTTTCATGATGCTTAAATTACCTTTGAACGGAAAAGAAAAATAAGTTCCCAAAATTGAATAATTTCCCCCCCGCTAATAAAATTATTCGGTAAAAAAGTGTCAAAAAGATTTTATTGATTTACATTACAATTTACTTTCAAAGATTTGACGTAATGTGAACGTCATGAAGCATCTGCTAAGCGTTAGTCTAAGTCTCTTTCGGACTTTTGAAACGAGTAATATTTGTTGTTATTCGCCCCCTCGCGTTTTATATCATCCTAAATATATAAATTAGACTCGATAATTCCGACGTGTTTTTTTTTTTTCTTTTTTTTCTTTTTTCTTTTTTTAACTTTTTCATTTTGATGCAAACAATTTAATGTTTTGCATGCATTTATTTTCAAAGTTAAAAAAATTATTTGTAAAATAATATTTCTTTTTTTGAACTCCTTTTTTTTTTCTTGTCTTTTTACTAAAAAAATTATTTTATAAATTCCAAATTTTCCATTCTGCACAAAATTTCATTTACATAGATAGTAAATAATAGTTCATCAGTAATCACCATTATATACTAAAAATAAATTCATTACATATAATACATGTGAATTAACACCTGAAGATTACCTTATTCTAGATTCCTTTAAGAAGGGATATTAATTAAATCCCTTATGATTATATTAAAATATCACAGAGAATCTCTTATTTCTACGAAGATCAATAAAAAAAAAAAAAAATTATATACTGATTTGATAATAAAAACAATACTCAAAAAATTGTGTTCAAGATCAAACCGCTTTTCAAACCAGTATTGGATGACTTTCACGAGCAATTTTTTTGAAGGTCGGCAAGTCGGAATATTTTGAACAACAAACCCCTAAAAAACAATCTTTCGAATCTTTTCCTTTGTCAGTTAGTTATAATTATAAAAATTATATCAGATGATATAATTATGACATTGTATATTTTTTCATAATATAATTTATTTATCATATTATTATTAAAATACGAAAATTATTATATCACACAATTGTTTCCTGTATAAAGATATTATACCCTTTATTTGGTATATATATTTTATGCTTTACTTTTAAAGTATTGCAAAACGTGTAAAGAAAGAAATGAGTGGCGGCTTTCATGAAATTAAGGTTGTACAGCGTTTTGGCCCGCTGACTTTTGAATTCACATGTTCCCGAATCTATTTAATATATTTTGACCTTCCAATACGTGAATTCATTATTGTTAAAAAAAATCATGATATTCAAACTAGCTCATGAAAATCGGTGCTTTAATGCATGATGTTACAAAAACATTTGCGCCGCAATTTCCTTTTCGATTCAACTTTTCCTACTAATCAATTTTTCATTCCTCCTCAATATCAAGCACGCTCCCTGTTCTCAATTTTTTTTTTTTTTTTTTTTTATAATAAATAAACTGACGTTTTTTTTACATCAGGGTTTCTCTCCTCTTTGAACAAATCCATTTCATATATTTATATATATTTTTATTATTATTATTATTATTATTATTATTATTATTTCTTCTTTTTTCTGTTTTTTTTTTTAATTTCAGTTTGAAAGTATTAAAGAAAAGATGTATACACAATCTCAGACCACACTACCACCAATAACTGCCATTGGTAACGGTGTCGTTGATAATTATAATTCTTCACTTACCAACGGTGATATTGTGCAGCACCATATCAAACAAGAACAAGATTTTGAACAGACTCCTTTACCTCCTATACGAACTACACCTATTACTCATAATAGCAATAATAATAACAGTAACAATCACTCTAGGATGTCCATAAATCAATTATGTAATGATACGGAATCCGATTATCCTGAGGAAGTAAAAGAAGTGGCAGAAGTTCTTGAAAATATGAAAACTTTACCTCCAATCTGTAAGTTTGAATCAAATACATGTTTTTTTTTAATTTTTTTTTTTTTTTTTTTATATATNTCTTCACTTACCAACGGTGATATTGTGCAGCACCATATCAAACAAGAACAAGATTTTGAACAGACTCCTTTACCTCCTATACGAACTACACCTATTACTCATAATAGCAATAATAATAACAGTAACAATCACTCTAGGATGTCCATAAATCAATTATGTAATGATACGGAATCCGATTATCCTGAGGAAGTAAAAGAAGTGGCAGAAGTTCTTGAAAATATGAAAACTTTACCTCCAATCTGTAAGTTTGAATCAAATACATGTTTTTTTTTAATTTTTTTTTTTTTTTTTGGATAGCTCATATTAACATATGAGAGTATATTAGAAGTTTTGTGACTTTCATATGAGTTACACTAAACCTTTCATATTATATATATATATATATACATACATACATACATATACACACACACACACATGTACTCATAATTTTTAATTTTATTAATAGCAAATATATCATCACCACCACCACAACCACAACCTCTTGAACCTCGAACACACGCAGAACCTTCACAGCTCCCAAATTCACCATCAGTGGATACAGGTTTTATGTCACGGTTAGGCGAAATACCGATCGTGAAGAGAACAATTGGCGCCTATGAATCGGGTAAAGCCAATTCCCCTTTCATAAAAATGGTCGAATCAAGTGTAACTAGGTTTTCAAAACCTGTTATTGAACACCTTGCTATAGTAGATCAATATGCAAGGGGTTTAAATAAAAACGATAAAATTATTGATGATGATGTGTATGGACCTTTAGTTAATAATAATAATGATGATAGAGGATTTAAAAAAGATGATTCAGAAAGTGAACTTCGTAAAAGAAGGAATATGGGCTGTGAAATTTCTCGTAGCTCGTCACCTTCATATAGAAACCCCTCGAGACCTCATAGAACTTCACAATCATCTGGTTCTTCGAATAGTACTTCTTATGCTCCATACACTTATCCTAATTCTACAGTATCAACATCTACGTCGGACTCTTCAAAAGTAACCCGAAGCCGTTGGCAACAAATGGTTATAGGTACCGGAGCGGCCGTTGGAGCAGCCGGAGCAGCCGTAAGCGAAGAATCTATGAAAAGTCTCAAATATTGTTTGCAGTGGATAAATGTAGGTTAAATTAATTATTTGAAATTTATTTTTATTTAAACTTTTTTAAGTGTTAATTACTAAATTATTTTTATTTTTTAGTATGCTACGCAACATATAGATGCTCAAATTGTAGTTTTAAAGGAATTTATTGTTAACCTTACAAACCCGTCTAATCGAGCGGTTGTACATACTTCGTCTACGTCGACTCTTGCTTCTATCAAAAAAGAGGTGATTGACACCTTAAGGAAGGTTATTGAAGTAGTATCTAAATATGCTGGTGCATGTTTACCAGATCATGCTAAAAGAAGCGTTAGGAGTTTTATCTTAAACTTACCAACTCGTTGGGCCTCAATAAATCATACTGAACATTCTTCTTCACCGTCCCCAATGTCCTCTCCACAATTGGCTCCTGCAAATGGTCATCCACTAAATCAAACTACAGATTATGCCCGTCGCCTTTTGAGTTTAGCAACAGAATCATTAGAAATGTTAAGATCTGTTGCTGGAATTTTCGGTGAAACTGTTGGAAAAGCAGAAGCTTTGTTAGAAAGTCTTAAAGTTGTCGGTTTTACAAGCGGAGCAACCGCCAACACTGCGGGAAATTTACAATTTGATAATATATGGTCATCACAAGCCAATGGATCATCTAATGGTTATAATATGTACAGTTCTCCGTCCTCATCTGGTTCTCGTTCAAGAAGATCATCCAGTTCTGTACGTATGAATGGTCATGGCCCACGTAAGCATTCACGTACAACACCAGTTCTTCATCAGGAAGATGATGATGAATCAATCGTTAATGGTCATGATTCAGATTCATCATCAGATTCCGAGATTGAATCCATGCGCATGGAAATGGATAACGCCCAAAAGCGCGCTCTTAAGAATGCAAATGTAAAATCACAACAGCAACATTCTAATGGTATAAATGGAACCAAAAAGAGAAAGAAGGGAGGTAAAAAAGAAAACGACAGAATGGATCTATCTTAATTATTATCGCATTGGATTATTATATTATATATATTTTAAACACAAACTTAGTTAGCTCTCTTTAATTAAAGTTAGAATATATATATATACATATACATATAATTTCCAGAGACGATTTTTTTTTTTTTTTTTACAAATAGAAAAAAGGTATTCCTCATTTTATGTATTTCTATATGTTGTTGACGTTTAAATAATACCTCGTACTGAAATGAGTGGGTATATTAATTATTATATTTACTTTTACTTACTATTACTAAAGTTAGTTTAGTGAAAATTATTATTATTTACATAGTTTAGTATTATTTTTTTTTTTTTTTTAAAAAAAAAAACCCCATAATTGAGAGAATCGATGAAACAGCATTATAATTAATGAAGTTAGTTGGTCTAGTTTAGGTATAAAAAGAGATTCGTTTTGTGAAAAATGATTATATTTATTTTATTCACAAGGAAAAATGAGGAGTACAAAAAAAAAAAAGAAAAAGAAAAGAAAAAAAAAATTCAAATGTATTAATCAAACGAAAAGTGTTAATATTAAGATTATATATATATATACATAATACATATAAATATTACATAAATTTTATTTATAAAAGATGAATCAAAAATTTAATAATTCATTTAAAATGTCAACTTTTATAATCTCGTCATTTTGCATTCAGTAAATATATAATATTAAAAATCATACGACGTTATTTTATTGACGTGTTTAATGATTTCCATTTATTAATGAATGATTGATTGATTTAGTATTTAAGCAGCAATCACCTTTATACGGGAATAAATTAAATTTTTATGATAAATATATATAAGGCAAGCTAATCATGATCATGATTATAATCGTCGGTTTGTACGTGACGAGAACCATCAGAATCACCTGAAATATGAATATCCGAGTTACGCTCGGCATATTCAACTTCTGAACCTGGTTCACAAGAAGAAGGATTAGTCACAAATGGAGATAATGGAGAACATGGTTGGTTTCCATTTGAATTAAAAGAACGTAAACTCTTCTCTTCATCATCATCATCTTCACCATCGCTTGAAATGACAATGACATCATTTTTTTCTCCAATGCTGTCGCATTCACTTTGCTCTTCACCCAACTCATTTAACTCACTTAACTCGGATGAACTACCATTTATTACTATAGCGTTGAGCGACCGGCTCTCACCTTCGTATTCATCAATGACATATGATTCGTTAGGACTCATTTGGCCAGCGTCGAAATCTCTGTAATCGTCTGTGTCAAATAAATCTATAACTTGTGGTTCTACTACTATATCAGAACCATCGTCAATAAATGAGTCATTAGAATCATAGGTATCGATCCCGTTATCAATTTCCGAATTATCATCGTCATTGTCATCATTACTGACAGAATCACAGTCTCTATTCTCTATGTCAATACGCTGCCTGCAATTTCGACAGACAGAACCTTCCACTAAAATATATTTTAGTTATTTGAGTTTGATTCTCAAAAGTCCCATTATTTGAAAAAAAAAAGAGGCTTACCTTCCCATCCACAGTTTGGACACCTCAACACACCATCTTCGTCGTCAACTAGTGGACGAACTGATGGGTCGAATATTCCAGCCCAATGATCAGATATTTGTTTGTATATTTGATCTTCCTTTTCAAGAGTTTCTAGGATTCCTTTTTTCTCTTCAGATGAAAGCTGCTCAATCATCGCTTCAACCTGATCTTTCAAGACATATGAAAGTACGGGATAAGTTGTAATCTTAGCCCGGCACGAGGGACAATTGGAACCATTTTCTCTATTCGTCTTTAACTGAATTAAAATAATAATTTAAAAAATAATTTAGTTAAAAAAAAAAAGAATAATTAATTACCCATTCTCGAAGACAAGAATAACAGAACGAATGGCCACAATTGATCGTGCAAGGATTCGCCAAATAACCTGTACAAATGATACAGGCAAGACCTAATAAAAAATTCAAATTAATTTTTATAATAGAGGACAAATATTATGGAACAAATGACAACTCGCCTGACTTGTACCGGTTGTTTGTTGCCAGGAGTCTTTTAATTTCTTCTTCTTTCTCGGCAAGTTCAACCTTAAGTTTTTCTATCTGGCTATCTTTCCATATACATTCTGCTTTTAATGAATCCACATGAAATATTAAATTTTTAATTTTATCTTCAGGCTCCACAGGCTCCAAACTACTTTCTTCAGGGACTTGATTCTCAATTGATCGCTTGCGTTTAGCTTCCGTAAGAGATGCCGTTGAAGCCTTACGTTTTAACCCGGTGGATGCTTTTAGCTCTTCATGATTGGAGCTCTGGTTGTTTTCTTTTTCAATACTCTGGTTATCAGAAGAATCAGTTCTTCTTGAACTAGGGCTAGATACCGTTTCTTGTACATTAGAAGAATCCTTTTGATGTATTGTGAGAGATGTAGAGCTTTTTGCATTTATTTCAGTCATGATTTTTCTAAAAATAACTACTGTGTAGGAAGGCGTTCAACTAGTAATTCACAAAGTTATTGAATATATTGAATATGAAAAACTTGAAATATCGTATAAAAAAGCTTGTGAAAATTAAAATATCAGACGTTTTTGAAGTACTTTCTCGCACAAGAAATGTTTTTTATTTTGATAATCAGTTATAATTGAAGCAAACCATTATCTGATAAATTTAGAAATAAACAATGATGTTTATGCATTTGCACATGATCAGATAAAAAAAAAAAAATTGAAATTCGTGTTCTTTTTTCATACTGTTCATATAGTGATATAGTGACAGTTGATTAGGTTATCATTATTTACTCTTATTTAATGATGTATTGTTTTTTGTTTTATCTATTTTTATACTGTAAGGTCAAGTGTTTTCCATATGGATTTTATATGTAAAAAAAGGAACATTTCCGTTTCAGTTAAAAAGCAATTTGTTTGACATCCTCAAATAGTGCGTAATTATAACACGATCTCATTTATCATAGGAACTCCAATATTATTTTCTTTAAAATGTGACACCTAATACTGTAGTTTCAACTGAAAGTATTTGATTACAAATAATAAAACCAATTTGATTTCTTTACATAATCAACAAAAAATATAAAATATTATATGAGAGGTAAAATAAAATTTTCACATTTTTTAAAATAAAATAATATTTATTTATTATTACAATATAAGGCTATATATAACACCGTTGAGTTTTTTTACAAAGTATTTTTATATTGTAATACTCTCAGGTATGGCATCAATACTGCTAATACTAGAAATGAAAAATTTAATAATATTATTAAATATGTTAACGTCAATTTAAAAAATTATATACATAATCGATATATTCGAGACGAGTAATTTACATGAAAAGGGCATAATTTAGGCATTACTATACGGTAAATGTATTTAATACATAGTTTCTGTTTAAATGCAAACATCTACTTAGAGAAGAGTTGCTTTAACTCTTTTAATGTATCTATCATCTTTGTTCTGTTCAAATCATCATCTTTTATTTTGTTTATTTCGTCTTTCATTTTATCTGCCATCTTATTTAACAATTGAATTTGATCTCGTGAAACTGATATATCATCATCTTCGAGCTTTTTTTGCCAAAGTTCAACATCCTCAGTGAAGGCTTTATAAAATATAGTCCAAGGAAAATAATCCCTGTAATTGTGAATAAGCAATTAATGACCAGATTAAAATATGAGCAGTAATGGTCACAAAACGTTTACTTGAATTTTGTATTTTCACGCAATTTTTAAAAATATTATAACAAATTCATTTGTACATACTTATTTTGACGATCAGCTGGCGTCAACGTAGCGAGTTCAATAATTACGATAATTTGTGCCCGTACCATGGACCATTCAGTGTTTACACGATTAAGTACATCTGAATAAACATTATTTACAAGTGCAACTGTCGAAGAAAAAGGACGTTAGAACAGAAACTGTTAAATACGAGAAAAAATAAAAATAGTACATACTCATAAGATTCAAAATTACGACAGTTATAAAAAGTGAGTATGCGACCTTGGCGATAGCTATAAATTTATCCCCTTCTGGCCATGAACCGTAGTCACTTAGAAACGCCGACCAATAAGCGTTGAGTGAATTAGAATATTTAATAAGATCTTGAAACTTTGTATAAGATTCATCAGTCATTGGAACTTGATTATAATCAAGTAACATAGAGGAATAGATCACTGTTCCGTGAGAAGCAGCGAGTATAACCAAGGCTAAATAGATAAATAGCCACGTAACCTCTCTGCAAATATGTGCAACAGCTGTACATTGAAAAGGTTAATAGGTTATCAAACTATCAGATAAGCAGTTTTTTGAGAAATTCTTACCAATGATGAAAATTCCGATCCTCTTAAAGGCTACTAAGAATTCGATTGCACCAATCCATAAGAAAATCATTGATAAAGCACGGAAAAGAATGAGTAAGTTATTACTTGGTTCTATGAAAATCCCCATGAATGCAGTAATGGCAGGAAAGACAGTTACTGAAAATGTAAGAAATGTTGTAGGGGTAAAAAATCTGATTCCAACACCGTTCAAATACATTATAATACCATATCGGAATACGCAGAGTGATTGAAATGTTCCCATGATAGTGCTTATAATAAGCAGTGGCATACTGTTAGTTTCAATCGCTGCAATAAAAAAGGCAAAGAAAGCGAGATATATAAAAAAAATCATAAAGAAGTGATAACGCGCAAAGGTACGCCACTTGAACTTGACTATGGCATGAAAAAGTGGAGAATCAATTATTTCAGAGGAGCCATGATTAGCTTGAAATATTTCGTCTGGATAGGTGATTATGAATTTTGCAAAGGGACTTAATTTATGTGGAAATAAGATGTTGAGAAAACTAGAGTCATCCGGATAACTGAATAGGCCGGGAAATGGTGAATAGCACAGTGTGGCATAATGACGGGGGATTGTTTGAAACCTATAAACCACAATTAGTGTGCAATATAAAGAAAGTGAAAAGGAGTGTAAAAACATACTTATCAATTTTGGGTATCTTTGGATTATGAATCTTGTAACCATAAAGATTTTCGTTTGTTGATTGGTACTCATTTATTTCACACCATTTTAATGGAACTTTAACGTAAGTTAGCTGTTTTACAAGCTTGGAAACTGGACTCTTGTAGAAGGAAATATCAATAAAATCTTGAAGCAAGATAGTAACTTCACACATGAGTTCGAGCTTTTCTTCTTCAATGCATAACTTCGCACAATAATCAAAAAACTCCGAAATTAACTTTTCATCTCTCAGGTCAATAAGTTTCCTTAAAGAACCATGGCATGGTAATTCCTCAACTTTGGAATTAACTAATTTATGTACCAGATTTTCAAGTGACTGAATTTCATCGATGCCATTGCTATTTTCCAAAATTTTAATTAACCCATTTTCATCAATTTTGCAACTATTTTTTGCTTCCAAATCATCAAGAATTTTTTTATAAACGTTATATTCTTGTGCCTCTATATCGTCATTCATATTTACTGTAAACAAATCTTATGAGTGTATGATAGATTTAGAAAACTTTTCAGGAAGAAAATTGGAACATTATATAAAAGTAATTCTATGTATTACAATAAACAATTCTTTTGCAGTAAAGAAATCAAAGTATTACATAATGTAACTTATTTGTGGCTATAATACCTAGATGTAGTAAGTCTCATTAAATATATCTTTGATTCTTTGATACTACAGATATCCTATTTTTAACATTTGAATTCAAAACACAAAATTATAAATACTGCTCATTAGACGCAGTAGCAATTAAAAATAATAAAGTAATTCCGAAATATCGATTAACATATTGATTATATAAGTGGAATATATTATACACTGTATTTATGAAAATTTGGATTTAGTAGATTTTAGTAATTAAAATTACCTTTGCACAAAAAATTATGTAAAGAGAAGTTTTATAAATTCAAATCAAGAGAAGAAGAGAAGTTAATGGATGCTTTACATATAAAAATAGTAATTACGGAATTACCGATAATTTACGGCGGATTACACAGAAGTTTATCGATCACAACAATATTAATATTAGATCATAAGATCGATAAATAGATCTAACAGCATTCTAAAATTAAGTATTCATTGAATTTAAAGTTGGTTAAATGAATACTATTATTTGTGCAACCCAACAATTATTTAATATGCATACGTGATTTTTAATATTACCATTTTGCCAAATCATTTTTTAATATAAGTGATTTGTTTTTTGAAATTTTGTGTAAACATGGTCCTTTGTATCATAATTGCCTTGATTTCGTGTCTAAAGACTAAAAAAAACTAATTGTATCACCCGGAATTTATCCGGCACCGGATGGTATATACGTAATTTTTTGCACAATAAAAATTTAAAACAAAAATTTTTTTCTTTATAAAACAAATGCCCATATTTTATGAGCATAAAAATTATTATTAAATTTATATTATTCACATGCACAGAGTGTCCACACTTCATATAATTTCAGAATTAACGTATGTTCGCATAAATTTTTTATGTGTATGATCATTGTGTGATATTTTTCGAAAATTTATTTTTGAGGGTTTTAGAGTAATGCAAAGTCTATGAGGCTTTCTGGGAGCTCATCAATAATACTTTATAGTTGGAATAAACATTCATCGAATATATTTTGTGCAAACGGGTTAGATCCGGAAGATTTACTGTAATTCATTTTACTAATTAATATGTGGTTTTGCTACGCGTGGTATAAGGGTCATGACATTTTTTACATAATTTTTTAGGGCTAACAAAAATCTTATATGACACAATAAAAACTCCTAATATTGTAATTAATAGAACTATATTTGCACTACTTCTAAAGTTGAAATTAATAATTTATTTAATAAAATTGAAACAAAAGAGCCTGGTTAGTAAGCTTTTATTAAAACAAACAATTTCATTTTAATATTTAGAATCAGTTAACTTTTAAAAAATAATATAAATTAAAATTGGCTAATTAGTTTATAAAACAGAATTTATGAATATTTTAAATATTTTTAAATATAAAATATTTTATAAAAAAAATAAAATAAAATTATGATTATTTTTTAAATTAAACAATTTTTTATTTTAATAAGCAAAGTAATAAAATTTTTATATTGCATATTTACATATTTAAAAGATTTATATAAGTACTATTATATACATTATATTATTATATAATGTAATAAAATTCATCTTTTATATTTTATTTATATCATATTATCATATATATCTTTATAAGAAAAAAAAAGAAATTAAAAAAAATAATTTTTTTATATAAACAAAAAATACAAATAATTACTATATATACCTTATATAAATCTACTTAAATCTGAATATCTGTCTAAAATCATATAACTAATATTATACATGCTATCCAAATTATTTTGGAATGCCATAATTATTGTTTAAAATGCTGTAATTCATTCAATTTATATATAATTTACTATGTAAAGTACCAAAATAATTTGAAATATCATAATTAAATTTGGAATTTTACTTATAATTATAGCAGTCCAAAATAATTTGAAAAATATATATAGTTAATACTAAGTGGTAAGCAATGCAAACTTATATATATAGACAAATATTTTACTGACAAATTATATTTAATTAATTATTATTAACTGAATAGATGGCGATGGCTAATAAATATATATATAGATTTTCTTTATATTTTATATATTATTATTAGAGTGAATTTATTTACCGCACCCTGCGTTACAATGCATTCTTCCTTTTTTGTAAATTGTTTATATCGATCTTTAGTTTATACACCGCACCCCTTAAAATGGCAAATGATAAACATAAAAATATATATAAATTTGTAACGCAGGGTGTGGTAAATACATTATTTCTTATTATTATATAGGTATTGTATTATAATATATCCTGTTATATTGTGTTAATTAAAGCTATTTTATTTTTCAAATTCTACATAAAGATTTTTGTATAATAATAAATTATTTGCAGAAATAAAAAAAAAGAATCTTGCTAATTTGCTCTTCGGGTGAAATCATCCAGGTGATTTCACTCATATATAAATTTATTAAAATCAGGTGATTTCACCCAAGTATAAAATTTTTATTTTGATCTGCATATAAAAATAAATTTTACGAACATTTATTGTGAATAGAAAAATCTATAATCATGCTACATCATATATATGGCTTATATGATAACCCTTGATATCACTATTAAAGTTAAAAATAATTGAAAATTATACTAAAATTATAATAAACTAACAATAAAATTAAATGAGATTAAATAAATTCAGAAATAAAAATATACAAGATTAGAATGAACTAAAACTAAAGAGAAGATAAATGAATAACCAAAATCATAATAAAACCAAATCAAACACAAGTAAAAATGAAATCATATAAAGAAGAAACCCAAAAAAGAAATTCAAAGAAAAAATCAAAAAACCTGAAGAAGAAACATGAAAAGAAATCCAAAAAAAAACAAAAAAAAATCCAAAAAAAAGACCCAAGAAGAAACCCAAATAAAACCCAATGAAACCCAAAAAAAAATCCAAAAAAAACTCAAAAAAGAAATACAATGAAACCCAAGAAGAAATCCAAAGAAGAAGTTCAAGGAAAAATCCAGCCAAAATATTAGAAGAAACCTAAATGAAAAATAAAACTGGTTAGTTACTGTAAAGAAACTAGACTTCTGAAATTCTGAAAAACTTGAAACTTATTATTTACTACATTTACTAGGATACTGAAGTTGAAAAATCTACAAAGAAAATGAGTAAGTAAGAAACAGGATATACATATAAACTGTACTGTACGAATGATAATTGTACGATTACTTGATTTGTATAGTACAACCTATTTCACCATATAACTTGATGATCATATGATTGTGTCATTTGTGTAATACACTGGTCGAAATAAGGCAAATCGGACATGTGATAAATCAGCTGAAAATCAAACTAAATTCAGCTAAAATTCAGAAAATTTACACAATTCAGCATTTCCGATTTATAACAATCAGAAAATTTACAAAATTCAGCATTTCTGATTTAAAACAATCAGACAATTTACACAATTCGGCATTTCTGATTTATGACAATAAAAATTTGACATTTAATTTAAAATTAGCATATGATAAAATCATTAAACAACATAAATTACGAACTTTAATTAAAGTTAATTCTTATCCTCCCAAACCCAATAAATCCGGATAAATCATAATAAATATAATAAATTATAATAAATTTGACATTTAATTTAAAATTAGCATATGATAAAATTGTTAAAGTTAATTTTTATCCTCCCAAACTCGATCAAATACCAATAAATCTGGATAAATCATAATAAATCCAGTTTTAATCTATAAATTGACAAATAAGAATCTATTAGCGAATATGGTATTTTCTATTTATTTGATTTACGGCTAAATACTCTCTTGCATTCCTTTGGTCTGAAATTCGGTAATTTA